ATTAGTTTCATTCAACGATATTTACTTTTCCTTTATTTTATTGACTTATAAGGGATCAAAGATGTTAATTGTGTGAGATGTAGTCTCGAAACCTAAATATCAAGGACAAAAAGGTGATGTTACCATCTATAAACCTATTTAGTTTCATTTTTACCTCAATTTTACTTTTGATCTTTCATCTGTTTTTGGTATTCATTGTATACTTTTGAGTTGCTAATTCGTTCGTCCCATTCTTACAATGTACTAATCTTCATAGTTGTTAGTATCACATCAAAGCCTGAAATTTCATTCGTTCAAGCAGATACAATTTTTTGAAAGGCTTACTATCTCGGGATTTGTCAGGATATGAGAAAGCTGTTCGTGAGATTGTACATTAAAATACACTTGATTCTTTTTATATAGAATTATGACTGCACTACCATTTTTGTTTCGGAAAATGTTATGTTAGTGTCTTCCATATCTGAGGAAAGTGGAAAGTCTCAGAGATGCCGACTCTAGTTAACATTCCCTCATCACGAGCTTTGACATTTTTATGGTGGAGTACCTTTCATTTCGTTTGGAGAGGCGAGTGGAAGGTATTCGTAAGTTGGTTCCACCGGAGGCTTTGGTGGGTTGCCTTGGAGCTGTAATTGTAGATTTACGCGAATAGGTCCTCGTCGCGCCGCCCTGCGACCCAGATGAATCCTTGCTGAGCTTTCTTCCGTCACAGGACGGACATCATCAGGGCAGGACATCATTGGCTTACGATAATTGACCAAAAACATGAAGGCAAGAACGGTGTCCGGCTTAGAACCTACCTACTTCTTATATTCCAATTTGGCCGATAATACTCTTATCCGCTCTCCAGATCGGGTTGTTATAAGATGTTGTGTTCATGTGGTAGTGCCTATGTGGGAAAGACCTGTATACCCATACATAAAAGATTATCCGAACACAAAACAGCCTGCTAGGATATTTGGGTCGAAAAATCAGAATTGGCTGAACACATGGCTCGCACAGGACACCAGATAAATTCGTCTAATGTCAAACAATTAGCTGGATGGGGAGACTATACCAGCAACGGAAAGATTAGAGAGGCGATAGAAATCAACAAAACAACCAACACCCTGAATAGAAGGAATAAATGTAGGAAGTTAAGCGGAATCTACTTGTGTCTATTGGATGGGTTTAGTGAAAGAGAGAAGGGGAAGAACGAGAAGTATCACTGAGCAAGAGAAGGCCTGATTAGGCTGGAATCAGGTTATTACTCTCACATCACACTAATTTCAATATCAGTGCAATGGGATGCAATTACATGCGGTAACATTGCATGATCAAAGGCATACGTGTTTTAGGGGAGGATGCAGCTGTTCGGTTTCAATTGCACGCTTCATCTGTAGCCACTTCACATGGAATCTGCAACCAGCTAACTTAACTTATGAACAAATATAAAGGCAAAGCATAGGACATCCAACCAAAACATGACATTCATAAGTGGACCAAATTGGAATATAAGAAGGAAGTAGGTTTGAAGCCGGCCACCTTTCGTGCCTTCGTGTTTTTGGTGAATTATCGTCAGCCATTTTGTCCTGCTCTAAAGATGTCAGTCACATGACGGACGAAAGCTCAGTAAGTATTCATCGGGGTCGCAGACTGGTGCGCCGATGATCTATTAGCGCAAATTTACAGCCATAGCTCCAAGGAACCCTTCCCAAAGCCTCCGGTGGAACCAACTTATGAATCTCTTCCACTCCCCTCCTCAAAATAAATGAAAAGTACTCCAATTTGAATCTATTAAGGGATTCTTCAAAACCCAATTTTTCTACATATGTGACGTTTTTAGACCTCTTAGGTGTCACCGAACACAAGCTTATACCCATTACTCTCTTTCCTTTATTATCACGAGATAATTCTTACTTCGCTAAATTGCGTTATTGCTTTTATGAACTATATAATAATTTAAATTTCGAGCTCAGAATTCGAATGTAAGCCGGAACTGTAGAAATAAACCAAACTTTTGAATTATTTTCCAGATTAACCTTGAGAAGCAAGAGAACACAAATTTTAGATTTAGATTCCTATCATAGCTTAATCAATATTCCATAGCTTATTCCGAATCTACTATTTATATGTATTCACATTTCATACTAAAAGCAATTTTATATTTAAAACTGATGAGCTTTTTAGCTTAAATGTTATTAATTTCATTTGGGGAAGGAAAAAATTTCCCGATCTATTAATATTTGATTTTCTTATCTGCTTCATTTATATGCTTAGTAATGGCGCTTTTATCATAACTTTCAAAGATTATTTATAGTTAAGTATATCAAACTAAACTTTTGATTATTTGAATTTATGAAGATCATGATTTTATTGCCTTAAGTGTTGTCGCAATCTCATTTCGTTGCATTGAACTTGTTTGACCTTGTTTTCGCAATTTGGTCATATTGGTAGGAAGATCTAGAGGAGCGCACGTTGCCGGAGTGCATGGTGTGCATAGTAATTTTTAGAGTTGGACCGTGGACTTAGTGAATTCTCAGAATTTTCGCCGGCATCGTCACTGG